ACATTGTGAAAAGATATAAAAAAAAAAAAAAAAAAAAAAAAAGAATATGTGACAGCATTTGTTGGTATCTCTGTTTCTGAACATGACGCAGTTAAAAGCTTTAGGAACCTTAAAAATCAAATTAAAAGCACTGTAAGTCATGAAAAATCTGTTTATTTCCTATAAAATATGCATCTTAATAGCTGCCACTGACTTGTCAAAAGCAATTGTAAATTCATTTTGTGAAATGAGAAGATTTAGTGCATGAACAGAATGTACAGAGCTGCTATACTGTGCTACAGTTGTCCAGGTTTTTTTAATCAAAACCCATTTTCCACTAATTGGAAAAGAGCTCATGAAGTCTGCATTCCATTTTTTTGTGCTTTAGCTGTAAAATTTACTGAGGAAAAACAAAATAACTGTGTTTATGTACAATAGTAACTTTTTTAAAGTATCACTTGCTTTAAACAAAAAGTGTGTACAGTGACATGGAAATACAGTTTTTGTATTAAAATATATATATATTATTTTCCATTGAAAAGTAAATATTGCTGTATGGTTTGGTAATCATTGTGAAAATCTGTTGCCAAAACTCTAGTGTGGCTAAAAAACAAGTTTTGAAATTGACAGTAAACTGTCCAAATCTGTTCCCAGTGCATAGAAGCTACATATTGTGCTGGGGCACGTGCTGGGATCTATAGTCTTTGAATCCTTGCATGGAGCAGAGGATGAAGGTGCAATGTACATGTGTTACAGCTGTTCTACAAAATGGTTTTAGGAGTCATGTGTCTTGAACAACTCCTAATTATTAGGGAATTCTCAAACATGAATGCTTTTGTTGATGACTTGGTTTTAGCAAAAGCAGTGTTCTCTTTGCTGTAGACCTCATGAAGCTAACTTGAGGAAGCTTCCTTTTGTCTGTGTTGTAGAAGGGGACAGGCTACCTCTTGCACTCAGATGCTGATTTTTGCTGAAACCACTTGTGAATCCAGAGTTGCAATGTCCAAAAATTCTGCACAGTCTCAGACTAGAGCATGCAACCCACTGAGGGCTTGTGGGTCTGAATAACATGCTTAAATACTTTATCAGCTAGTACTTTTAAACTGCCTAAGCTGTTAATAGTGGATTTTAATGCTTGCTGAAACACATTCTAGAAAACAGAAAGAACTCTAATAGTGTGACAAAGCTTTAAAGAATAAGAAGCAATCTGCCTAATCAGATATGATACCAGATGCTATGTGCCAGGCATTAAGGTACTGTAGGTGGTTCCCTGTCTGGCTCGGTACCTCTTTAATTAGACCATTGATCAGGGTAAGACAATGTTGATGTGATACATTCTCCATATATGGAATTTACTGCACACAGGTTTACTAGGAATCTAGAATAATACAGAATCAACCCAGTGCAGATTGGGTGGTTTGAAGGCTGGCTGTTTAGCAAAACTCTCATATAAAAATACTCTTGATGAAGTTTGTATGTGATCCAAATGTTCTGCCAGTGTTTTAAAAAGAAAAACAAATATACAGGTCACTTCTGCAATGTCTCATGTCTATTCAGTTAAAAAGCTTTGGTTTTAGTGTAAATCCTCAAAGGTCAGGCACCACATCAGATACAGCAAGCGAATAAGAGCGAAGAGAGTCTGGCAACTTTAATAACATTGAATCTGTGAAGTGTCCCCGCCCTCCATGTTTAAGCCTCAAAGCTTGAAGCACCTACACCAGGAAAAAGATTTTCAATTGTAGGATATGCTTTGTAATAGGAGACAGCGGGTATGACTACGCCTGGTGAATGGACACTTGAAATTGATGTGCCTAACTTGGAAATATAATGCACCCTTTTAATTATTTATTGGAACAACTTTCCTGGAATTGTAGAATGTTTTCCATCAATTGAAATCATTAGGGTGCTAAATTTTTCTAGTATGTGTGTTGTGGTTCAGGTAAAACACCCGCACTTCATGTGCAGGATTCATGGCCTGTTATGCAAGAGGTAAGACTAAATCCTTTTAATATTCCTTTCTAGTTTTAATCAGTGAACCTCTGAATAAGGCAACTGACCCTTGGAGTACAGTTGAAATTTTTTGCACTAGCTTGTTTATTCCTCTCAGTAAATTGATGCTCTTACTTTGAAGAGTAGGAGGTGGAAAAATCCTACCTTTGTTTCCTGATGTGTGCTGTTGGCTGAGCACATGCTAGCATCACTACCAGCACCTGTGCTATTAAAGATGGTTTTTGTTCAGTGTCTAAGAAATGTAACATCCCTCCCTGTTCAGACCTGGTGATCAGAATGGCCTGGAGTATTCTGGAGATGCTAGGATGCTCTGCATCAAAGCATTGAAAAGCAAGAGGTAGGCAGCTTGACAGTTTGGAAGAAGTGTAACATTAAAATGGTTCTATTTTTCACTGTTGCTCCAACATTGTGATTTTTAAGAAACTGAAATTCTTAATTGACTTCAGTCAAGTTAAAGACAACTTTAAAAACGGATAAATCTCCAGACTGTCCTCATGGGCTTCAGCGATCCACAGTGCCTGTTTCTAAAAAAAGGGGTTTTTGAGACACAATCAAACTGAAAAATTTGCTTACTGACTTAAAGTGTGAGGAGACTTAAAGTGGAGAATGTGTAGATGCGACACAGTATTTTAGAACTATGATATTTATAATGTATCATTTGAACTGTTATATTTTGGTTTTAGAAGAGGTCACTCCTTATAATACTTTGTTTCAGTTTCTCCAGCTTCTTTTTCCTTATTGCCTTAATGCTTATTTTATTTTAATTTTTTCCTCTTCGAAGCTTATTCTCAGCCAGTGGATAACCATATCACTCCATCTGCCTACTTGGGACAGTCCTTGCCCCCAGCATCACCAGGGCGATATTCACCAATTCCCAAGGGAATGCTTGGAGATGATGAGATTACCAGGTAATGAATAACTAAAGCTACATGTCAAATTAGTTAACCAGGGAAGCTCATAAGATGTGTTTGTGGGCAAATACTAGTGAATGCTATATTTTATTTCCACAAATAAATGCAAATGATTAGTTTCTTAACACTTGTAAACATTGGTGTAAGGAGAAAACCAGATATATTTTTTATATAAATAAAAATAAATATATAAAAATACACACACATATATATATACACATGATTTATCAGTCCAGGAATAGTATTAAAATCAGAATGCCCTGCCAAAATGGTCCATGAGTTGACTGAGCTTTTTAGGATGGTAGTATGAGCAGACTAGAGATTGTTTCTTACTTTAAAGCCAGCAATGTTTTTTCTTCTCCCTGCCTCCCAGGTTTGTTTTGATAGATTTAGTAAATCCAGAAAGGCTAGAGAGCTCTTAATCCTTTCCCATTAACAGACTATTCATTCCTTCACTGATTCAGTAGATTGCATTAATATTTTGTTCATCATCGCTGATAAAGGGGAGCTCTTCTAATTTTGTTACCCTTCTGTTCTGCAAGTATAGGAATGTTATATTGCATTTTCAGTATGTTGTTGCTGAATTCTGTGTCACACCATCATCTGATACGGATAATGTCACTCAGTTTCTGAGGCAGGGTGTACCCAGGATTGAAACGTACGTGGTATAATAAGTTGGAGAATGAATTTTAGTGTATTGGAAGGTGGGAGAGCCTCAAGATATGTATGTCTCTGTAGTTATTTTTAACTTAGGGTTAGGTGGACATATAAGCCAAAGTGATTCTGTTCTGCTGATAGCATTGCTGAACTTACGGTTTTATAGCTTTCCTTTAAAATTACTGTAAAGGGAGGGTTTCAGATTTCTTCTGAAACGCAAGGGCTATTCAGAGAAGGCTTTAGGTGATTTTCTTTAAATTGCCTTCACATCTTCTGCTCCCTCCGTCCCAAAAGAGGTTTAGAAATTTTGAGTAATATTTGAAAAGATACCGTGTATTTATGTTCTCTAACTGCAGCATTTTTGTTAATATATTAGTGTGATCCAGAGCAATATACATAGGTTTTCACAATGTCATTTATTTGTAATAAAACAGTACTGTGAACAGATGAATATAATAGTTGAAAGGGGATGAAATTTAAGAATTTGACACTAAGTTGATTTAAGAGCTAGTGCAAAAATAGAGTGATTTTTAAAGATCGGACTAGATATTTTTTGTTTGTTTTGGAAAAATGCTGCTTCTTAGTTTATCCTATAAATTAATAATTAATGTCTCCAAATACTTAAGAATGTCCATTAACTGTTCTTTAGCGCTCTCTACTGATTTTTCAACTGCAGTGCACAGTTGCTCTGCTTTATCAGAAATGTCTGTTTCTGAAATCATTTATGCTTTTCTTGTATTGGGTCAAGTAGCCGACTAGTAGATTTTTGGAAGAAGTGTTTCTGTATTAGAAGTTGACTGGCCTTATCTTAACTTGATACAAGCTATACTGAGGCTCTTGAACAATATGGAAAGTGTTAAGTAATGACATTTAGTGCTGAATAGGATTGTAGCATAATAGGAATTTAGAATGCATACATACTTATGAATTGTTCGGTTCACCTAACAACAAGCAAAATTGAAAGCATACAAATAATAGAAGCTATTATTTGAAAGTCTAAGCTTTGGGGGGAGGACCGGGGGCAGGCTGTAGGACATATGACGTTGTTGCCTTAAGAAATGTGTAACTTTTGATACCTAAATTTTCAACACTACTTTTCTCAGAAAACTTAGCTTTTTCTAATTGTTTATTATACTTTTGCTCATGACTAGTGACCAAGATTTCATATTCCTTTCTTTTCTTCAGGGAGCCTAGAAAGGTCGTCCTGCATCGAGGATCAACAGGTCTTGGTTTCAACATTGTTGGAGGAGAAGATGGAGAAGGAATTTTCATCTCTTTCATACTTGCAGGAGGGCCAGCTGACCTGAGTGGAGAGCTTAGAAAAGGAGACCGTATAATTTCTGTAGGATTCCTTGTTTCTTTTATTTAAACAACAACAAAATTTTCCCCTCCCTAGATATTAGTGCCAGTTAATATGATTTATATGCAAAGACTATCATTAACTAAGCTAAATTTGAGACAGTGGAACAGATGCCAATATACTTCCAAAGTATCTTTGAGGACTTTAGTCTGCCTCAGTTTCTGATCTGTATCCTGATTAAAATAGCACTTTCCTATCTCAGAGATTTTTTTTTTCAGCAAAGACATAAATTTATCTTAGTCTGGTAGCTGAGGGGTGTGTGTGTCTAAATTGAAAGAATGCAGGCTTCAGAAATAAGCCTTCTAATGAGATGGAGACAATTGGCAGTTGTGTCTAAAATCGGGTGCTTTACTTCTTGGAGTAACTACTAAACTTTCCTATTAGTCTTAAACAGATCCATCCCCTACCTGTCTGAGGGCTTTTTCTATATTAGTACTTAAGGTAAGAAAGATTTTGTGTGTTTCTTTGTAAAATGACTTAATTTATGGAGAATCATTTCTTTGGACAATTACATTGTAGTTTGGTAGTTATTCAAGAGGAAAAAATAATTTTGGCTCTGCTGTTATTAAAATGCTGATATTGAAGTGCACCTTTATTTCAGTTTGAACTATGAAAAATACTTTTGGTCTAAAATGTGACACGCATATTTCTGCTTCACTCTTTTTCTGACACTATTTTTAAATCTGCTGCATTGAAAACAAGGCTAGACAATTTCATGGAGGGTGTGGTCTATCACTGGATGTTACACATAATGGTCTGTAGGCATGCTTTGGCGAAGGAGGTCCCTGAAGCCCTGTTGTAGAAAGGTGAGGTAAACCATCACAGAAAGTAACATTCCCTGTGTCTCCGTAAAAAGAAAGAAAAAGGTCTTGAACAAGAAGAAAATTGACCTAGCGAATACAAATTCATTAAGTGATATACTGTGACAATCATAGTATTTCTTAACAAAGGGGGATACGTGAGAGAGGATTTATTGGCTTTGATTTTCAGTAAGGATAAGTAATCTTTCTTTGTATTAACTAGCTTGTAATGTTGGAAACGGGAAACTCGCACGGCATGGAAACCGTGTTCTATGATGATAAACACAAACATTTATTTTGATAAAGAGCTTTTTGTTATTACTTGCAGGTAAATGGAGTAGATCTAAAAGCAGCAACCCATGAACAGGCAGCAGCAGCCCTGAAGAATGCAGGCCAAGCAGTAACTATTGTAGCTCAGTACCGTCCAGAAGGTAAGGGTTGCCTTGTACATTCAGAACTTGGTAGAAATACCACATTGTTACTTTTGTATTTCACAGTTGTCTTCACCCTTTAATATGGCAGTTTTTTTTTCCTTAGTGGTAGGAGGAGAAAAGACTAATTCCTTCTCTGTTGTGTTGATTCGGATGACCTCAGGAGACCATCAGGTTTTTATTCCTCTGTTTTATACTGAGCTGGTATTTCTGTTTATCCAGCAATTTCTTCTGGTCCAGATTAGACTGTAGCTGATGCTGATTAACCAGCCTTGTGTGTTCTGCAGAAGCCAAGTAATACTGCTTCATTACAATGCACATATTTGTCCTCTTGTATTTCTACAGCACGTTTCAAATGCCTCTGTCTATTTGAGACTTTAAAAATTCAATAGTCTAAAATTATATGCTTACCTTGAGTCTGTAAACCCATATATTACTGTTTATATATAGTAAGACATTTTTGATGTCTTATTATGAACTGTGATGATCAACAGCTTTCTCCAATTTTGCTAAATTGGATGGCCCATCACTAATCTTCCTTTAACAGTACTGGCAAGGGGTAGGCATAGGTGTTTATCAGGACTGGACATTGAGCAGGACTGCTGCCTTAATCTGAAATTTTTAGGTAGCTGATAGCAGCACGCTTTTCTTCATTCTTTATTTCTTCTCTTCTGTCATGTTTCTCTTATCCTGTCCTCCCCAAGTCTTTGAAATGTTAGCATTCACATTCCTTTCCCCTCCCCCTCCCCCCACATCAACATCATCTATCTCCAGTGACCCAGGAACTCTGTCAGTAATAAGGCCAACTGATTTGTTTATGTCTAGTTCATGGTCAAATCCCTGCAGCCAGCCCATGTTGTCAATGCCTGTATTGTCTTGAGAGGGTGTGCATCCTGTTCACATGTTGAATCTGTAGATTCCTCTGTTCCAGGATTCGTTTTCTGGGAGTGCTTACTCTGACACTTCTTTTTAGAAGGAATAGCAAGGTCAGCATTGGTTCTGGAATATTTGCTTTGGCTTTGTGTCAGAATTGTCAAATACTTCTGTTGATACACATTTGGCCTATCCTCTGCTTAGCTCTTCAGTGTTGTAACAGGTGGGTCAAATTGTTACACCTTCTTGCTCCCTGCATAGGGATCCCTCACCTTAGTGAGAAATAAAACTTGTGCTTTTATTTGCCCATGAGTTGTCCTTTTGAGCACCTGGCCACTTTTTTGTTCAAAGAGGGCATTCTTGGTTGCTATTTTCTTCTGCCAGGAAGGTATGTTGAGATGCGACTCCTAGTAGCAGAACAAATGTCTCTCTGGTAGAATATATCCCAGGACATAAGCACTTCCCCCCTCCCCCCCCCCTTGCCAAAAAAATTATCCAGACTGCATGCAAAAGCAGCAATTTTCAGTCCTCTCTTTCTGGGATTCAGGCTTTTAAAAAGAAAAGAATCCCTTCGCACTCTGAAAGTCGGAACTCTCTTTTCCTTTTAGAATAAGAGAACTAAGCATTTTGGATGGTTCCTGCTCTTTCTGCACTGGAAATTTTGATTTTGAGTCATTGCACAGAGATTTGCCCAGAGCAACATACGCTGCCTCTTACAAATTTCTCAACGACTGTCACTTGTAGACTTCAAACCTAGAGCTGTACTCATTCCTTCATGATTACGGAAGCATTCAGAATAAGACTGCATGCAGTTGAGCTGTATTGAGAGTGCAATTCTCAAAGACTTATAGGGCCCATTTGAGAGGATGCATGTGGGAGCTGTTACTTGGATTATCCTAGATTATGGGCAGACATCGGACACATTATTCAAAGAAAGGATTTTTTTTTTTTTAAGATGTTTGGTCTGCATGACCATCTTTCTTTCTAAAATAGTGCTTAAAATACCTATTTGGAGTGAAGGTGTTGGAAGCATGTTAGGGCTTACTCTACCCTTTTGAAGTATACCATGAAGGAAAAGTGTACCTAGGAGATTGAGATCCATTGTAGATCGGAGGCAAAGTATATATTGACACATGGCCAGCCTACCTCAGAGAGCTTAGGTAACTAATGTCTGACTTTGACATCTCTGCTTGCCTTTTTCTTACTCCTCGTAAGAGGTTGAATGGAGCTCCAGCTATCGGTTTCTTTCAGGTCTGGTGTGGGAGGTAACTTGGATCAGATACTGTTCATATCTTAGACATTAGTAAAGAGAATGTTTCCTTAAAGGTTACTGTTTGTTTATTATCATAGGAAAGCAGTCTGTTTGAGAATTGACTTTCCGAATAGAAAATATCATCCATGTGATTGAGTGTGCTTGATAAAAGTGCGTATGTTCTTTGATCGTCTTCAGATTTCCTAAACTACAGCTGCGGATGGTCGTCTTTCCCCCTTACTTGATTCATTTAAGTTTCAATTTTTTTTTTTATATATATGGGGGGTGTGTGTGTGTATATATATATTTATAAAATTATCTCACTTTTTGTTTATGCCATTCAAAAAAAAGGTTAACAAGTATTAAAATGAAGAGTTCATAAAATTAATGTTCATCGTTGGTGTTTCTCAGATGTCTTCGTAAAGATGAAAAGCATCAGATATAACTGCTTGTATTGCATATGTATTTTATTTATATTTATACATCCAGCAGGATTTTGTAAAAGATGCTGACAGCTAGGACAGATCAAGGAGATTCTAGACATCCATCAGGGCTCATTATAACTGGGTAAATAGATTGAATATGATAGGAGCATTTGGAAGACACTTGGGACCAGCTCACTTCAGTCCCTGGAATTGTATATGACAGTTTGTATGTTCATAGATGTGGTGGGGAATGCTAATTTATGTTTTTACTTCCTACCACATTAGCTCTATCAGAAATTCCCCATTTGACTTTCTCCTCAGATTTCCGGGAAAAGAGGATTTTTGCAAGCAGTTCTCTCACAGAAAAGCCTGAGTAGGCTGTAGAAAAAAATAATCTTTGGAAAACCCTTATCATAGAAAGCGTTGAATTTTCCATATCCGTGTCTTCAAATCCAGTTAGACAACGTGGTTTATCAAACACTAGTTACTGGACTTGGGGTAGACTAATATGGCTGAATGATACTGCTTTTATTATATCTGGGCTCAAATTACATAACTGCTGACTTTTTTTCCCTTAAATCTCCGAAATGTTCCTTGGTTATAGAACTGGGTGAAAACAGATGTAATCTCATTCCTAAAATATCCTTCTGGGCATTCATTTAGTTTCCAGCAGTGTTCTGTAAATTTGAGAGATGCCTTACAAAATTTTCCTACTATAGTGAATCAAATTTCAGCAACTTAGAATCATAGAATCATTGAGGTTGGAAAAGACCTCTAAGATCATCGAGTCCAACCGTCAACCCAACACCACCATTACCACAATTGTAGTTGGTTGACTTCTGCTTTCTCCTTGTAGCATCCATGCTTTATCTTGCAACTTACCTACGAGCTATTGTTGTAAAATGTTGAGTCACCTATTGGGTTGTACTTACACATACTTTTGTGTTATACACACGTATACACAAAATCTCCCTAGTTGCAGTCATCACTGGGTTTGAACCTGTTGGGGCTGGTTGCTGCAGAGGAGTTGTCCATGGTAGAAGAAGACCAGAAGCTTGGGAAATGGGAATTATCCCATAGAAATGGTGGGGAAGTCAGGATGTCATTCTCGTTTCCCTCTTCGTTTGGAAGCTTTTCCATATTCCCCAACTTGTCCTACAAATTTCTATCTCCTTACAAGACATCATTCATGAATAAAAAGGGGTTTTGCTTTACTGTGAGTTCCACTGGAAAGGAAGTACCATGACCTGCAGCAGTTTCAAAGAAAGTGATGTTGCTCCAGTACACAAAAGCATTTTGATGAGCCATTTTCATTTGTAGAGATTTCTGAGCCATTTCATTTTCCTGGCTCTGCAGAGACACCTCAGTGCCACGCTGTCGTCTTCCTTTGGGTTTTCTACAGATGTAGGGTGGCAAGGAAAAATTGTCGTATTAGTGTGGAAGAATGAGAGGAAGCTCTAGGCAATTTGGATATATGTGTATCTCCTGGGAGTGGGGGTTCGGAGATGGTCAGAGTTCTGATCATGCTACATAGCGGGGATATAGGAACATGAGATTCTCGGTGCTTGAAGGGAACATAGTTTAGGAGAGGAGCAGCAAGGGCGAAGTATAGGACTGTCCAGAGGTGTACAGTCCTTGGAGGGCTCTCCCCTCATCTCACACTGACATTTCCGTTGTTGTGTCCATTCAAATTAAAAGGTCATCTGAAACATTCTTAAGTGTTTTGAGGATGACATAATAATAGTGTTACCTCAAAATTCAGAATTTCTGGAAGGTTAGATTTTGCCATTCTGAAAAGGTATGAGGTACCAGTAGGCTACCATAACTGTATTATAGCTTGAGTGCACTGAAGTGTTTAAAAGTAAGAAAAATAGCCAAAGAAATATATTTAAAATATGAAAATATATTTGGTTGAAATTGAATAGAAAATAATTTTGTCGATTAAACATTTTTTTGTTTCTCAAGGATCCACCTGACATACAAAAAATAATTATAATTTTAACTAGTACAGCAGTTCTTTTTTCATGTGAGTTATCAGCTGCCTGTTATTTAGCATTTAGAATCTATGTTGGTCTCTCTTTGTAATTCAGCTGATCGAGTCCATCTCTGTATATCCACTTCTTTTCTGAAAGAGTGGTAAGATGGTTATGTGATCAGATTAGCTCCATGTTCTTAGGTGATTGGGTGGATCAATGTAAGATTAGGATAAGGTGGAGCCAGAACATCAAGAGAAGATTTTAAAGTATTTTTTGTAAAATCTCTGCTTCTGAACTTACATTGCTCATATAGATAGTTAACACACATTTTTCTTTCAGCTTTATTAAAGGAAATAAGTGATTCTCTATTACAAAATGTATTCAAGATTCATAGTTCAATCAAAAAATCTCATACTTTGTTAGCCAGATTTTTAGGTGGATTTTCTTTTTTTTGTTTGTTTTGAAGGAATGTAT